TTGAAATGATGTGTCATTACAGAATGCCACTTTTTTTACCAAGGTGTATTATAGTAAACTGTTGGAGAGATTGTTTAGGTAAAATGATACAACTTACGTCTCTTATTAAATTATGAAAAAACTAATTTCATGTACAATTTTAATAACCACAATAGCAATCTCTTGAAAGAAAATTATAAACAAAAGCTTAACGAGACTTTGGAAAGTTTTAGTGATTTACTATCACTCATAAATCAGCCTCATGGTTTGTCATCAAAAACCATGTGATCTCAATAATTATGTCATACTGGAAAAGTTCACTTATCAATTTATCCATTTGTTCATATATTAAAAATTCATCCAGTTTACATAGTATTTCTTCTGTGATTCAAATGAACAATGTAAAAAAGTTTAAAAATACTTTTGTGTCATTTAAATGATTTTTTTGTGCTGGCAATTTCATTTCAATTTATGGTATTCTTGCCTAAAATTCACAGATTACAGTTAAAAAAGTAGTGAAATTCATTTGAAGCCCAATCACATGCAAATTATTACTTGATGGTGGTTCATTTACCAATGATTGCTGTGAATAATCTAAGTATATAATATATATTTGTTAAAAAATAATAAAAGGGTTCTCTGTCCTGATGTGTGAAAAAAATAAACCGTCCTTCATAAAATTTGAAAATCACCCCATTTTTAGCATGTGGGAACTAATAAGTTGCATTACATATATTGGTGGTCTTGAGAACAAAAACCTGAGAAATCAATAAAATATTTTAACTTTAAAGTTTTTAGCGTAAAAGCTCTTGAGAAAGCACTGAATTCTTGTAACTTAAAATGTTTTAGCATGAAAGTCCTGGGGTAATTCACTGAATAATTATAACCAATCGTTGATGAGTTTACAAAGACAGTAATACAGAAATGGATGGTTGTGAATAGCAGTGACCAGATTCAGTGGATTTTCCAGTTGTAAGGTACTAGAAGGAGGTTCTGCAAATGGATACAAATCAAGTCAGCCATTTGAAGTTACTTTCATATCTAGAATTTTTAATTGTGTTGAGTGGGGACGAGGCTTTTATTTTGCTCTAATTATATACAAGCAAATGTGTTTTTTTCTGATTGTCACAGCTGACTAAACAAAAATATGACTAATTTACCCAATCTAGGGACTCTAAGAATGAAAAATAAGGGAGTTAAAAATAAATGGAAAGCTGATGGAATTTGCATTTGTATATGGCAAATCCATTATGTGACCAGTTTTGCTTTCAGTTGCTAATTGAAATGTAAGGAAGTGGATTGTTTACCAGATGGGGAACTTGAGGCCTTGGTTTTTATTTAGAGTATATCTTGGTTCATCAGTTGATAATAGTCATATGGAAGTTAAAATCTAATGTTTCTCTTTAAGTAGACCAGTCCAACAGTTATTTTATGTTGCAAGTGCTTGTTGGGTATATGAATTGTACCCCCCCTCGATTTTACACTAAAGTACCATCTAATTTGTATATATGCATGATAGATGACTAAAAAATTAATATGATGAAGACATTTTAAGGGTTAAAGTCCAATATTGCACTTACTATGGTGGCCTATAAATCAGTTTGCATTCAGTTCTAGCAGAATTTGTAACACACTCTCATTGGTCTGGATGTTTTTGTCAAGGAGTACTTGTAAAAAAAAAACTTGGCATTTTATGGTATTTCCTATTTACCATATGCTGAAAGCTGGACTCTAACCTGGGATCACAGTGGTGCAGAAAGATTGTTACCTTTGTGCTCTTCTGATTGGCAGAGCTCAGAGTACATTTCAGATGCATTGGGACAGGTTATGAATATGACTTGTATTTTACTATTGCAGAAAATTAACACCTGAGCAAAAAGCTCTGATACTTCAGTTTGCAGAGCTGGAGAAAAATGTGGATGGTACTATCAATGGAGTAGTGGAGACCAAATCAGGTTAGTTGATTACTTGCACACAATAACAATAGCTTCTCAGAGGCTTATTTTTTTATCTAGTGTTCATTAGGGTGGTGAGACATTATCACTTTTACAATGGCTGCAGCTATGGCATCATCAACAATGTTGAGTTGTGTTATGGTTTTGCGTTGGGGTCAACATATATACATGGATGCAGGTATGAAATGGATTTCCACTTGACAATGTGTTTTTTTTATTCCCTTTGTTTCTCATTTGTTGTCCACATGACTTTTATTTTAAATTTTACTTATTTTCAAGTATTTTAATAATCTGAAAATTATTCGTTTTGAAAGAGCAGAAAATGGTCATTCTGTTTTATGAATCATGATGAATTACTGTGATGCACACAAAATAATGTTTTTTTTGAAGACTGAAAGGGGGAGATTGGGTCCTTTTTTGGTCTATAGACAACAGTGTAATTTCCATCTTTCATGACAAAAATGTTTTCTGTTTGAATGTTTATTTGTTCTAGAAGGCTTCAGGTCTGATTTTTCTATGTTTGAAATAAAGGAACAACTACCCTAAGACTTCTTTATTATGAATGTCTTGAAGTCAAAATGAATTACTTGGAATTTGTTGTTGAATTATTAGCTCATTAGTACACACCAGCTGTTTTGAGTGATAGGGGTGGGATTGGTGGTTTTAGAGCTGTTGGCCAATAATTGAGGAAAATATAGAACCTTGTATTTACTTAAGAAAGCCTGTTGTAAGAAGAAGATTGTTGGGGCAAGGAAGATAACTGAGGAGAATTGTTTCCAATAAAATCTAGATCGGATGATTACTGTTGCCTAATAATCAAGATAACTTGCATAAATCACATTGGATTGAACTGGTCAAATATTATATTGGAACCCTACCAAGTCATTGTTTAAATGGGTTTTTATTGGCACTTTCAAGACTTTATTGTGTTCATATCATGCCAAGAAAATGGGATGTCAGTGCCCTTCTCAGGCTGGCCTGAGCAGGTGCCCATGGCTTTTGGATTATTAGTGGACTCTTTACCACTGGAACTATCACATAGCTCTTCTACCAAATGACATTAATTCCAAAAGATCACAGTTTTCTTCTGTGGCTGGACTGTTATGATGGATGTGATACATGTGTATGAAGTAAAATTACTCCTCTCTTATAGGTGGAAGAGCAAGGGATGAGGGAGAGAAACTTACTGGGGAAACTATTTCTGATGCTCCCGAGGAAGAGTCAGAATCTTTCTTAAATAAACTCAAACGCAAGATTTTTGGTTGACACAGGAGCCTTCTAGAACCAACATTAGGTCAGAATGCATTTTACTTCAAGTTATATTTTTAAACTTCATGATTCCAAAACAAGTGGTGAATATGCATGTAGTTTAATTTTTCATGTACAGATTTGTTTGAAATGACCACCCAAAGGACTAAGTTGATATTGCTATTATAAACAGGTGGTTTTATTGGAAGGTAACTAGCTATTAATTGATCTAATTTGCTGTTTAATAGAAACTAATTAACTTGACCATCATGTTTAAGGTAAATATATCAATCAAGCTGAATATTTTTAAAGTTTTTTTTTTTACAGTGATTGGTGAGCAAAGGAAAGAATTTAGGAAATTTAACTAAAGATTGGAATAAAAATGTAAACTCTTTTTAACATGTGCAAATGATTTAAAATGTTTGTAAAAAGTGCAGTGGTTTTATGTACAGCTAGGTAGAGGCCTTTTTATTTCGGTGTTGTAATACACTGCATCTTCAGCATCCTGCATATATTTGCACAATTAGTATGACAGGAAATTTAAATTTCACATGAATATTTTCTGTTTTGTGCTGTATACACATGTATTACAGCAAGAAGCACCATATATACATGCATATAATTTTGATCCAATTATACTCTGAATAGATCCATATTGCTATTGCATATTTCACCAATATGTGGGTCTCTGCAGCTTGTTAGGAGTAATCAATACAACAAATCATATAGACCCAAATGGGCCAGAACATTGAGGTATGTGTTGTTTGCAGTTGGACCTAGCTTACAGCAAGTATATATGGTGTGTTATTTTTTTTATTGTACACATCATTTTATGAAAATTGATACATATGTAGTGTGGTGACAATCTTCTAAAACTTTTTTTTTCATATCTCCTGATTTGATGGCCATATGAACATTATCAACACCCAGTTTTTGTTTTCTGATTTGTTCTAAATGAAAATGTTGTCGATCTGACAGCCAATATGGCAACCATTGGAACCATTTTGAAAATCTTTTATCACTACTTGTCCTGAATGGAAAATTGTTATTTAGAGGAGGCTTTCAGCATAATGATGTCTAGATGAAAATGGCTATTGATACTCCATGCAAATGGGTAGCCATGTTAATGTGAGACATTTGCTAAAAGACTTTTGATCTTAATCCTGAGTGAAAACAGTATGGTCACCATATCGGCATTCTTGAGCATCTTGTTATAGCTACTTCTGAATGGAAACAGGCATTTTCACCAGAAGAATTCTTATGATGTCTAGGTGGTGCCAAAATGAAAAATGGTACTATTTGACTTCCAATATGGCCATTTTGAAAAATCATTAAAACTAAGCTGAAAGTATTTTTTAATTATCTACTTGGACTTAATTGTATGCAGTGCCAATCTGACAGCTATTATCGCTGCAATCCTCAAAATCTTGTTACTGCTACTACTTAACAGAGCCTGGGGTTTTCATCAGAAGACATGTAATATCTATTTGGTTCTAAATTTAAATAGTGCCAATCTGACCTTAAATACCACCCTCATTGGTTTTCACCAAAAGACATCCAATTGTGTTTAGTTAGTGTGTGTGTGTGATTTGGATTTATAACATTGCTTTAACAATTTTTCAATCATATCGCTATGATGTCTGCAGTGTGGCAGTTTATAGTGATGTCTAGCACTGGGGCATCATACCTCAGATATGTAGCATGATGTCCCAACCAATCACATTATCCTGACACCAAGCCAACCAATCCTAACACTGACCTCTTAATGCTGATTGCCAAACAAGGCAGATGTTAGTACCATTTTTTAAGTCTTTGGTATGACTCAGCCGGGGTTCGAACCTGCAACCTCCTGCTTGTGAGGCAGACGCTATAACTACTAGGCCACTGGAGCAGTCTGTTTAGTTAATTCTAAATGAAAATGGTGCTAATATGACATTCATTATGGCAGCCATCTTGAAAGTCTTGTTGCTATCTAGAATGGATGGTCATATTCACATATGGTTTTCACCAAAAGATTTTAGAGGATTTCTGCTTGGTTCTAAATGAAAATGATATACTTCTTACATCCAGTATGACTGCCAGCTAGCTAATTTTAAATTCTTGTTATGCTTAAAAATATTGAAGAAGGTTTCAGCACTCGGCAGTAAAACAGAAGAAATGGTATTTTTAATTCTTGGAAATTCTTTTGAACCAGTAGAATGTCAGTTCATTTGAGGGACTCTTGTGCCTAAAAACAGATATGGTAGTCTATGTGCATCACTTACAACTAAAGCACTGAATTTGATCAAATATATTTAAAAAATGAAGGAAATGTACAATGAACTGAATGATAAGATGTCTTATATATGTTCTTATGTAACAACAGAGGTGTTTACTGTGATTGACTGTTGCTAGATATTTGGAGCTTTCTTTATGTAATGTGGTAGTTGTATTTAAGTCAATTAATATATCTTATAATGAGTATAATTAATGATCTGTTAGTTAAGATGAATCTGTCATTAGTCTTGAATTACATCAGACTCCTAACATTAGTACGAACAGCCGAAGGGCCAGGAGCACGAGGTTGATGTCAAAAGTTATAGCCATATGATCCTAGCCCCAGGATAGTCCAACAACATAGGTTGCTATTGCTTTGATTTTTAACTTGAATACACATTTAGATCTTGAACTTGACACATTTTGGATCATGAAATTGAACTAATAGATCTAACACTAAAGAATAGTTCAAACCACTGTGTTGTTACCTTTAGATGGTGAATCAGATTTTTTAAAACATTATATACTTAAATATGAAATGGAAATTTATTGGCAACATGATCTGATTTTCATTTCTATATCTTCACATGTGAAAAATTGTTACATTTTCACATGAGAAAATATAAGATTTACTATAATGCCATGCAACACTTGATTGTGTGTCTACACAAGTTATACAGGGTTCCTGCAGGTTATGGAATCCTGGAAAAGTTTTGGAATTTAAAAAATAAATTTCAAGGGCCTTGAAAAGTTTTGGAATTTGTCAAAACCTTGCAAAGTTTTGGAAAAGTCATGGAATTTGTGACAATGGAGTTAAAGAAATTGATTACTTCAAATTTCATAGAGCACCGAGAACTGATTAAATAAAATGATAAAATTACAATCAGTAAATGGTATCAATTCATATAATAAGAGTAAGTTCCCCTAATGGAAGTATCAGATTTCCGGTGTAGTTCACTAAATAAAAGAAAGCAACTGGAAAGTAATGTGTTTTGTTAATATTGTAAATAGGAACACATACAAAGACTACATAGACTTGTTTCCTTCTTTCTTTTGAATACAAATTACATTGATCATTGGATTATGACATGAATTACATAAAGTCAAAGTGTGCTAGCCCAGGTAAATTTAAAATGTACATATTAAAAAAATTTGTTGTTAACTTATTTCTTATTTTAGATTGAAAGATGTCATTCTTTATGTTCATTTACTTGACAATGCAAGATAATGCGGTCCTTGAGTTTTATGAAATGGCCCTGGAAAAGTCATGGAATTTGTTTTTGTTAAGTCTGCAGGAACCCTGGTTATACCTGCAAAATGTATTTCATTTCTGGCATGGAAATTAAGTTTTGCACAAGAAATATGACTTGATGCCGTTTGCATTTCTTAAAAGTCATTTTCTCATACTTTCTGGACAACAGTGATAGTCCTGCTGTGATGCATTGCTGATTTGGACTTGCCTTTTTTTTTAGATAGTGTCAGAAAATTTATAAAATGCCAAAAACACAATATATTGTCACAGATTAGGTCAACCTATTTCTATTGCTCTATTAAATAACTGATATTTATATGAAAGTGAATTGAATTTACAAAATGGTGTGAGTTTAATCTTCGGGAACAAGTTTGGTATATAAGAAAATTGTCTTTTGCTACATAAATATCAGATAGATTTAATCTTACCGTACCAAAAACTGTAATATGTTAATCCTGGGTTTAACAGTTTTAAAATATCACAATTTTTTACATGATGAAATGTATCCAGGATCAGTGTAGCAAAAGAAATAACCTTTATTATATACAGTAAATAAATTTCAAAGGGGTTGAAATTTAATAGAATTTATGTTCATTTACAGGTATAGTCAAAGTATATACTTTATACAAAGTATTCTTTATGTATATGCAAGCCTAGATACTATGAACTGAAAAATAATAAGTCTACATGCATATTTCTTTCTGGTTAATAGTTTATTGTCACATTTCCCATGATACTACACAAGTTTTCTTTCTTTTCTCAACTAAAATTAGTATAGTATAGTTAGTATATTGTTTACAAACAGCTCTCACTATTTTGGTAACTTAATTCTACTGACAGATAACTGTGATACAATAACATTGTTACAGTTATTTATTTCATTGGAAGCCCCAAGTGGCCAAGTGGTCTAAAGCACTCTATTATGGATTACTGCCATCTCACCTCTGTCTACATGGGTTTGAGTGTAAGATTTGGCGAATGTGGATAAGTGAGAAAGCTTGCCAGTAGCTTCTCGTGGGTTATGGTTCTTTCTGCGGATATCCCTATTTCTTCCTCCACCATTAATACAGGCTGCTATGTAAAGCCTATCGTGTGCTGAAAAATGGCGTTAAGCCTCAGAACAACATTTATTCCATTGCAGTTATTTTATATTTCATGAGTTTGGGTTATGTTAGGCAGACAGCAAAGGTGACTGATAAATAGGACTATTTCAAATGACTTTCTGTACAAAGATATTGGTAAAACGTTGAGGAGCATTGGATATGAAATACAGGTGACATCATTATGTGCCTTTGGATACAGTTTGCATGCTTACACGATACAGTACTTTTATCATATACTAATTGATTCTTTTCATCACAGATTTCCATTTTTTTTGCAGGTAAAAGAGCAGTTGATGAGGATGGTTTAGTTTCACAGATTCGTGAAATTTTACGAGATTTTCCTACAGAGGATGAAAATAAGAAGGGATCCAAATCAAGTTGAATGTAGTATACGAGGTCATGGACATAAATTTTCTACCTGAGAGCCTCCTTTTTAGTGATTGATCTATATGTTACTGGGTCAGGGGCATTGCTTGCAGAAATTTGCCTGTATTTTTCGTGTCGGTGCACTAGACAATAGACTTGACAGCTGGTGGAAAATGCCCCTTACAATGAATCTTTCTTGAGAGATCTCCAAAAACCAAGGCACCGTAAGGCAAATTAGATGGAGAAATATTCACAGAGCAAGCATTTATTATACAAAGCTAATTTCTTATCTTTCCCAAGGCTATTCTGAAAGATCAGCCTGACCGTAATCCCAAGTATCAGTATAAGCAAGTTTGTATAAACTTGAGTGTATTATCAGTTATGCATGGTATATTGCCATTATTTGCAAATATTTTTGTTGAGAGTAATTTGGAAAGCCACAAATAAAATGTTTTGAGATTTTTATTTCATTGATTTGCTTCAGATGTTCATCAGTCGTCTATGTCACCTAGAATGGAATATAATTTAAACATAGCAGTGGGAGTTGGGAATATAATAGTACTGTGTTTGTGCTAGTGAAATTTGCAAAGGCAATGGTGGTTCATTTCATGAAATATACTGAATATATTTAGTCATTGAAAATTCAGGACTTTTGCTGTCATCAGCAGATTCATGCCTTCAGGTTGCCATGACTAGATTAGCATATTTTCTAGGTTGTATAACGATGTAAGAGGCTAAATTTCAGAAAATAACATTTAACAAATGTATGATGATTTAGCAATAAATCAAACTTTTATTAGATTAAAAATAATTTTTGGTGAAAAAGATGCTATTATGAAACAGTACTAATGAAGAAATGGGTAATAGCTCAGTTTGTATGGGAAACAGATCTGAAATGTACAGTTTTGTAGTTACACTAGATAAATTAAAATGCTGGCATGCTGGCATGTTCTTTGATACATCTTCACAATTACTAGATAAATTCTAGTGGAAACCAAAAAAGCCTGTCTTTTCATTTTTTTTTTATGTCTATGTAAAGGTATCAAATGGTTGTAAACATTACATGGATACATGTTGCGTATTACTAATGTTCAGCTCTGAAATGTGACCTCATAATACAAGAAATGTCTTGTGTAATTCTAATCTGCATAAATGAGATCTTTGGATTGTTTATTTACTGTTCATCTGAAACAATCACACAATTGTTAGTCATGGCAAACAATTGAAATTTATATCATTTTATAATAAAATGCAAGTTGAGGCCTTTTCTTGCAGATTTTAGCCAAATCCTTGCCAAGTAGTTAATGAAGGATAGTATTTTTTAACTACAACATTAATTTCTTCTAATCATCAAAGTATTCCTATGGTATGGGCTGTTCCAATATAATGTACTTGGGAGTCAGGAAGATGTGTTCTGTGTGGAGTAGTCATTCTTAGATACAATTTAGAATGTTGTGTTGTTTTCATATAAACTCTAGTACTCAATCATAAATTTAATGGAGATCATGCCTCCACAGGGTACCATGTATGTTTATGTGGAACAGACCTACCCTTATTGTTAAGATTAAAACAAATGGGGTGGATGAACAGGCTTATTATGAGCATAAACTTTCTTAAAAAATAATTTTCCAAAGTTCTGTCAGATTGGAATGTGAATTTTATTGCAGAAATAGTGTGTGGCTGTATGTGATTAATTATTAATTTCAGGAAAAAAGAAACAGACTTTTAAAATTGAATCCAGGAACAGGTTGAACCATATTTATCTGGCAACAAGTGCAAATACCCAGCGGTTGGTACAATATTTGAGGTTGAAGAATATAAATTTTTTACATTATGCTTGTACAGTTCATGAAAAATACATCTGTTGTTAATGGAATTACATCCACTATGCATTCATGATGGAAAATGTTTATTAAAA